GCATTTCATCTCGATCGGGATTATTGCAGGCGCACGCCGCAATCACTCACGCACAGCAGAAATGAATCCACATGTAGTAATTTTTAACAACTATGGCAAACGCCGTGCTCGATCCACAAACCATCATACATACACGAGTGCCACGACCTGCTCCGACCATGGCTACATCGCCTGTGCAGCACCAGCAGCAGAGGAAGGAGACGACGAGGAGGAGGAGGAGGCGAGGCGCGGGCAGCGGTTGAAGCCGTACCAGACGTTGTTGGGGAGCGGGTCGCCGTAGCGGAAGGTGGAGGGCGCGCTGGGGGCGGTGGGCTCGTACACCCTGACCCACTCCGGCGTCCACCCGGTGCGGCCGGCGCGGCGGAGGTAGAGGTAGCAGACGCCGTACCCGCAGGGCCCCCCGATCTTGAACGTGTCGGTGGCGCACCGGTCGAACGCGCCGGCGGCGCCGCCCAGCCGCGCCGCGTACACCTCGTCGCGGTACACGTCCCCGAACGCCAGGCTGATCGCGTCCGACGTGCGCGCCGGAGAGGAGCAGCTCGTCTTGATCTGCACCGTGTACCAGCAAGTCCGCGCGCCCACGCCTCGCTCCGAAGACGACGAGGAGCTGCCGGTGGTCCGCGCGAGGCCGTCGTCGTCGGTGCGTGGGAGCGGCCGGGGCGACAGGGTGGCAGAGACGAGGCTCAGGCAGGCAAACAGGGCGAGGAGGAGGAGGAGCCGCGGCGGCGCCATCGCCATGGCGAGATTGGTCGTGGTGGCGACCGGCGAGGGCTGGAGTGGACTGGAGGGATCGTGGCTGGCTTGCCTATTGGCGGTAAGGAAATTATTTATGTGTGTGGTTTGCGAGTCTGGTCTGATCTGATCTGTCGAGATTGAATACTGGGGGCCAGTGCAGGCTCCAGCTGGGTTGGTAGATGGTGAGGAGGTGGTGGCCGGCAGTGGGGCCATACATTCGCTGCATCGTGTGATTATGCGATAGGCGAACGTGTCAAATGGAGGACACGATTCTGCCTCAGCGTGCTCCACGAGTATTGGCGTCCTTGTCTTCACTAAACACACACGATAGGTGTTCTTTACAAAGGACCGGGGCCATGGTCTCCACGCTCCATTGATTTCGACACATAAGGACATCTCCAGGAGGGATCCGCAAACCGTCTGTATATGTCTGGACCGCACTGTCCGGACGGCGAAAGTCATCCAACACGGGTCTGTATCGGTCTGTAGTGCGTTCTGGATACGATTACTCCCGCAAATTGGAGACAAAATGAGGGAGGTTTGCGACAGCTTGGACACACAAAACGTAGAACCCCGACGCCCCTGCCCGTCCAATTCCTCATCTCGTTCTCATTTCCTTCCACTCTGCCCTTTCTTCCCTTTGTTTTGCATCCGCACCCTCCACCTCCGTTGACGTTGTTGTACGTCTCCAGCTGCCATAGAGCCATTGTCGGATGTCCGCAAGCAGCATCGACGTGTCCGCTTGCCGTTTCGACGGAGCTTTCCACCTTGGAGCCGTTTGTACCCATGTACACTCCGCCCCTATCGACGACCTTCATGGCGGACACCACGCCCGACAGGTGTTCGGTCAAATGCCACCGAGCTTATTTTTAAATGTTATATCACTTTTTAGTGTATGAAGGATGGTCAGCTACTCGACCATGGAGGATGAGTTGTTGTGCGATGTAAGGTTGGTCGTATCTGCGGATTTCTAAGCAGGAGCAGAGGGGAGTCCTTCTGGGAAGAGGCACATGAAAAGTTTCGTGCATGAAAGCATATTGCGCCCTACGACATGTACATCATTCAACCACACAACGTGAGGTCATTGTTGTATCGTTGGCACGCTATCCAGATCAGCGTAACCAAGTTACATGGTTCGTCAGCTCGAGGCAAGGTGGCCATTGCACGTTGCAGAGGATGAGATTGTAAATTTTTCTTCCACTTGCTTAATTTATTGATTGATTCATTCACTTAATGTTGGTCTACACATTATATATAGCCCTCACGCGCTGTCGTGGTGTACCACAAGATAGAGGGACGGCCATTTATGTGCACACACTGTTGGATGAAGCTGAGAGGGGGGGGGGGTATGTGTGGGTCGACATGATCCGTTCATAAAAAACTTGTTAGACATCCGGGATCTAGTCGAATTTGAGACCTTGTTGTACTAGACTTAGTTTGCATTGTATGTATGGATGATTTGTGTTATTTTTTATCCGAATTTTGATGAATGTCAGTTGGTTTGCATGAACTTTGTCTGGTTTATTAAAATGCGGGTTAAAATGTATGTGGCTAGTGTTGGATGGCGGCCTCCCGCATCCATGTTTGCGGGAGAAAATTTGCAGGTTGTCATTGGAGATGCCATGAGAGAATGAAAATTACATATTTTGTTTCATCTGCGCCTTGTTATGTCTTCGTTTTGAAAATGGGGAGAAGCTATGGGGGAGAGGCCTGCTGGCGAGCTCGGATGAAGATATGGGGGTGTATCGTGCTGACGAGCTCGGATGCTCAATGGCAGTACAAGAGTTAACCACTAGTTGTTTTTTGCATTTGTTCCTCATAGCTATGAGAGTTTCATCCTAAACTAGGAGTATTGGATAACATCCAAAGAGCATGTACAACTGGAACCCATATCCATCTCAAATGTCCGGGCAGCCTGCCCTGACAGAAAACTGTCACCCAATCGGACCTGGCAAATTTAGTACAAACTCCCGGCCTGATCGGCTTTTCCCATATCTGACCCATATCTGGGGCGGATATGGGACGCCTAGACGCTTCCGCCACGTCAGCTCCGACAAGCCGCACCCATCCCATATCCTCTCAAAATTAACTAGTCTGCCACTTCGACCGCACTTCTCTCGTGTATGTTCTCCATTTCCCTCTGTCCGCGCAGACGCCCACCTCCTCGCTTGCTCGCCGTCCGTGCAGCCGGTCCACCTTCATCGTCGTTGTTGTCTTCGTCGATAACCCTATCCGCCACCACTGGCATGGACGATGCCTCAGCGGAATCGATCAGTGTCCCTACTATGGCGGTCAGTTGCAAGGCTGAGAAGGCCGCCGGGAGGGAGCGCCGCCGAAAGTAACACGAGTGTGAACCAACGGAGAAGGTCGTTGTGGAGATGGCCGGTACGAAGATGGCCAATGATGAAGAGATAGACTTTGGTGCGAGTGGTCTGGCGAGACTGACAAATCCCGTCTGGCATGCCTGCGGGGAAAACATCTCGTTGCCAGAGCCCAACTTCGTTCTGCCATCCCAGTGGATGGGCATCCTGGATAGGTTTCTATGAGACGCTACCGCCCGGACATGATGGCCAACTTGTTGGTAAACGTAGTAGAAAACAAAAACAAAAAACCATGCCTGTGATCACCCAAGATCAATATGAAGATGCATAACAGTTTGGGATCATGATCGTTATCATCACCGAGTTATAGTGGAAGAAGAACTATCGATGAATGATCCCTCGTACTACGCACGAACAGTTCCTCGAATCAAAGACCGAAAGCACGACCTCTCTACTTGGTTGCAAGCATGCAACCTTCACGATCCGGCAGCGCTTCACCGTCCAAAGCTAATCGTCGACGGAGAATTAGAGGGAGGAGATTAGATAAACAATGGGATTCTACTTATGAGGACAATAGGATTGACCTAGCCCTAATTAGTCAACTAGGACCAACTATAACTATAACTAGAAGAACCAGATGAGGCTCCTAAACTTCTATATTCAATTGTGGCCAATACCTTGAGTATATATAGGTTGGAGGGGAAGAGGAGGGCTGCCACCAATGAGGTAAAGCCTCCTTGTGGCACCGGCCTAAGGGGAAGGAGTTGGACTCATCCCATGCTCCAATTCAGCCTCCTTCCTTAGGGAAGAAGGCACTTTCCAACTTGGGCCTTTTTCCCCAAGTTGCCTTCCACCTCTCAGTCTTTTTAAGCCCGTTGATATTTAAATTAAATATAAGATGTTATAAATACTTCTAGACCATTATATATTTTTTAACATCTCCAGAAACTTTTTCCACCTATATATATTTTATCGGTAATACCAGATATCACCCGATATTCACCGAAATGCTTCGAGATCCTCTCAGAACTATTCCAAATATTAATGAAACATTTACAAAAATATATTATCATCACTCCCATCCTACAAACACTCTGTGGATCGTGATTTCCTTAAGCTTGTGACCCCGTAGGTTCGGTAACTCATAGACATGAGTGAAACCGTTCGTTCAATGACCTACAACGGGACTGTGGACGTCCATATCGATCCATATGAGCGCAAGAAGGATATTTGAGTGAACCTATGGTTATCATGTGATGTTCTCTTTGCTTCGCGATACTTCAAAAAACTCGGGATGCATCGGTATCCTCCTGAGTCATCACCATGCACACTATACCGAAATCCTCGTTACCGGTTTTGTTCTTCTTTCTCGTTATTGTATTCTGGCATCCCCGTGTCGTAGTTACCTGGGTCTGGACAAACGATGATGGATGTCATCACACCGAGTGGGCCCTAATAATATCTCTGGATCATCGGAGGAGAAAATCCCACTCTTGAGCAATCTAGTCCCTTGTCAAACTTTCCGATGAACCTATAAGTTGCCGTTATGATCACCGTGTTATAGGTGGCATTTGAGCAACCCTGAAGCCCGTCGTATGGTAAGAAGGGACTATGATACTCTCATGGTCTAAGGAGTAAAATCACGCATTAAAACTTTGTCTTATTACAATTGATTATAGATGATATTAACTCAATTCATAACAGACAAGATTGTGGCTATCTCTACAATATTTACATTAACGTGGAAATCTCATGGCTCCAGCCATCATGCCTTGACACGCAGGCCACTTAACATTACAACATATAACCATCTCATATATAAACTCATTATCATGACGAAGGCTATACCACATCATATGTATACCCTGCAAAACCAAGTTAGTCGTCCTCTAGTCGGTTTTAGCATAATTTTAGCTATATGATTAAACAGTTTTAACAAGTAATACTAGCTACGTACATACACAATTTAGGCGATGATTCTTGTTGCTAGATTAAGTTTCGGGGTGTGTGAAACAAGAGACTTAATTAAAAATCTCAAGCCCCACACTAAACTTTGTTAAATACGCGTGACCCCCTAGAAGATCCACCATCTTGGCACCCTCTTGTGTACGCAATGGTTCACTATTCCCAACTATGGTGAAGCAAGGAACTGTTAGTAGATCGTCGACAGCAAGAGCGATCGATTGTCGGAACAAAGCAACACCATGTTGTCAAAAAATTGAACCAAAGCAACACTCAAGGGAAGCATAGTAAGAACATCAACCCTCACAATAACATGTGATCTAGATTGCAACCTACACCTACTCATATAACTGCTCTGACACCACTTTTGGGAAACATAGTAGAAGACAAAAAAATTGCGCCTACGATCACCCAAGATCAACGTGAAAATGCATAACAGGTTGGGATCACGATCGTTGCCGTCACTGAGTTGCAGCGGAAGAAGAACATGTCGGTGTATATTGTACTTGGAGTACCTCAAACCGTCGATGAACGATCCCTCATGCCGCCCATGAGCAGTCCCTCGAAGCGAAGGCCGAAAGCACGGCCTCTCTACTTGGTTGCAAGAGTGTAGCCTTCATGATCCGGTAGCACTTCACCATCCAGAGCTAATTGTCGCTGGGGAATTAGAGGGAGGAGATTAGAACCACACAAGACTTCTAATTATAAGGACAAGAGGAT